CTAAGATCTTTGTCGCAGGGCACCTCAGTGCCTGCTCCTAGGGAGTAGAAACTGCCAGGGAGAGAGAGCCCTGGCAGGACATAACGAGCCCAGATGAGGGTTGCCAGGGTAACGGGCACAGCTGCGGGTTGCCGGGGCAACTAAGGAGAGCCAGCTGCCTGTAGGAGGCAGGGCCTGGCCCTTATAAAGCCCAGGGCTGAGGCCAGGCTGGCAGTTCCCTGCCAGCAGCCAGAGAGGCAGGAGCTCCCTCAGCCAAGATATGGGAAGAAGCCTGACTTGCAAGTACAGCTCACTATAGCCCTGAGAGGATTGGGCACTATGGTTTAGCCAGGAGGCTTTATGTTGGCGTTACAGCCAGGAGGCTCTAGTTTATGTTCGGCTTACATATTATACCGGAGGCTTGGGTGAGGCTGTAGGGATTGGAGGAGGCCTCATAGGGACCCCAGAGGTGTGGGGCCCCTGAGCGCAACCAGTGGGTTGCGGGCGGGGAACAGACCCCGGGTTGTATGCGGGGTACGTAGACCCCAGCCCCAGAGAGGGGCAGGTATGAGATGCCCCAGAAGTTCAGCACACAAACTAGTTTAAAAGTGCTAGAATCTGGTCTTTGCCCCTCCCTCAACTAAAGGGTGAATGTGCATTATACTTGCCAGTGGTCTAAACTGCTGAACTATGCCACTTACAGAAAATTGCATAACTTAAATTAATTCTACCTCAGGTTTTTTAATTTCTGTGCATAGCCCGGAGAGCTTGCTGCTGGGGCTGTCAAGCTGCTCTTTTCCTCCACCTAAGCATAACTCAAACCCAGCTCTTAAACCAGGTGCAGGCAATTTATTTCAGGCCACTTACCTAGTTTTGGCAGGCTGTCCAGGGCCTCATGGGTAGCTCCGCCCCTTGACAGATGCCCCACCCCTTGACAGGTGCCCCACGCCATGGTCACCATCTTGGGACCAATGTCTTGGGACCAGTGTCGGGTTAGTGGCACAGCGCCCCAGGAGAAGGGCAAGGTGCTGCGGTTGTCCCCCGACAAGGGGATAGCAGCGCGGTGAGCCCGTACCAGAGAGGGTATTAGTGCGGTGAGCCTAGAGGACCGGTGGACTGAAAGGACGTCCCTGAGGGGACTGCCCTATTGTAGAGAGCCCGGGAAGCGGGTGTGCAGACACACCAACGTCTATTACATCAGCGAGGCTTGGGATGTGGTATTAGGGGCTGGTAGGAGCCACGCGTAGCCCATAAGGCTAGGGTGCCTGAGGAGCACCCATTATACTGGGAGCCCCCAGGGGGTCCGAGAACATACGGGGACAGAGGTCCCGGCTATCCATGCCCAGGGAGTCGTAAGGCAGCCTCCCAACCTTATTCAACAGCAAAGACGTGGCGGGCGAGAATCGAGGGTGCCCTTGGGCCGAATTGGCACGGAGAGAGGGCCTTAAGGAGATCACGGCCCTCCTAAAGGACCCCGCCGTGACAATCTTAAAAATATTTGAGAGAAGAAAGCAGTTTCTAGAATCTAGACAGACCTGTTAAGGAGACAGTGACAGCGCAAATCTACACGTGGCGCTATGTCACCATAGCAATGCACTACAGTGACAGCATCTGCAGGCAAGAACCGCAATGCTGCACCTATGTTGCTCTAGGGATGTGCTACCTTGTGATAATGTATCGCTACGCCTAAAAATAACCATGCACTGTACGCACGGCACAGTATGGGGTGTTATTGCGCTGTCTTTTACTACTTCCAGAATGAAGTACTAAGTGACGGTGCAGTAACAATGTTGCCATAGCAACATGTGTAGACACGCCCAGAAGTGGGAACTGTAACACAGAAATACCGACTTTCCCTGTGTCACACAGAAAATCTGCCGAGTGGCTGCTGGAAACTGAACCTTGTTTGCCGGACACTGTTATGATTATCATCTCTAAGTCCTTATGCTTATCTCTCTCTTATTAAGCTTTCCTCTTCTATTTTAATACTTGTTACATATTTCCTTTACATACTCAGTTTCCTCCTCATTTTCTCTTTTCTACTAATACTTATTCTCTCTTGGTGTGCTACTAGCATAATGCATTAGAGGAATGGGTGGTACACTAAAGTCACTCATGAACACCCTGTGGGAATTAAAGTATTTTAAAGCTTAAGTGTAATTATACATCCAGAACACTTTGAGCCTCAGGTGAACCCAATGTAACTGCTACATTTGCTGTGGTGGTCACCACTGAAAAAAAAAAACATGTATTACCTAGTACTTACTGAATAGCTTATATATGTGCTCACTTGATTTGAAGATGGTTTTTATGTTATCTCTGATCCTTGTCCAACCTCTAGCAAATTCAACTACATGTTTCCACTGATGTTAATGGGAACTTGATCAATTCCTTAGGTGTCTACAATTATCAAAATAAGTTTTTTTCCAACCAGTGACTAGTGACAAATGTCAGCTTGTACAATTAAAGCTAATATATTTAAATATCATAATTAGTTGAACCCCTTAGGGCACTCATCTTCAGGCAGATTACAGAGACATTAAATTTAAATTAACATTCCCAACGGTGGGAAAATGCAAAGTATACTGCATGTGGCAATTTGTGCTATAGTTTATTGCATACATACATATACACTGTGGTAGATTTGGTTCCAGCTGGAGTACATCAACTTGCACATTACTGGATAATATAGGTTGAGTCAAAATATATAAGGTTGAACTATGTTCATATTTTGTCAAATTTCACAAATAAATAAATAAATCCATCCATCACTACCACCTTGCCTAGAGGGGATAATGAAGTTAAATAAGGTGGCTCGTGTTCACCCTCCTAAAATTCAAGATGAAGTGGATATTTGGATTTCTAACTGGATCTTTTTCACATGCCACAATTAACTTGTGGAACTCAATGTCACAAGGTACCACTAAGTCTAAGACCAACTTTTTCAAAAGTATGGAAGAAGATTTTTGACAGGAGATCTGATATTTGCTTTATTACACAGGTTGATTCAGCTTGATAAGAGACTTTTTACAAATCAGAATATGATTGGAGACATTTGTATAACATGACAAAAATGTGTGGGCTAGCTTCATAGTTCATTCTTCAAGTTAATATTTAATAGCAAATGTTTTTTATTTTGGCCAAGGGGATATAGTGCAGCTAATCCAGTTTTAAATTGCCAGACGTAACAGTAACAACTGTTTTGAGAGACTTTGGGTCACTATGTTGTAAACACTGCATAGGATTAGATCTTACATCAGATTCTCTACTGGTCTTCAGTGCTTCAGAGTGCTACTTCTGCTTGCTCCTTTTCAGCTCCAAGGAATAAAAAAAAGGCCAAAACTAGTTCTACTAGGCTAAGGAGAGGGTAGGCTTTTATCCTTACTTCTGTGAAACACATTTTTTCTGGTTTTAGCTTCAGGCTACCTTCCAGCTCTTATTCCTACCATTCTGCTTAAAAGGTGGTGCCCTGTGGCTTCCTAGATTCAGATGAAAACTGCTGTCTGCCAGCAATGGTGGCTTAAGGATCAGCGCCTTCCCAGGATCCCAGTGTCCGATTGCTTGTGTCACTAATTGTCCCTTTCTGGAGGGCACTAGTAATGTATGAGCCACAGAAGCACCAAATTAAATTATTTCAATCAAAGGAGTGAAAGCAAACATAAGAGGAAATTATGAATTTGAAACTATAACCAAGTTCCACAGGAAAAAATATAAAACAGTAGGTTGTTTCTCTCTCTAGTCTATGAAGAAATGCATTTTAAAGAATCTGTACAGTAAAAAGTAGAAAGATACCCCTAATTAATATGCACCTAAATTAGCCAGTTCCAAGCCACTACAAGGTATTTAACACGCTTTAGAACAGTATTATCTCCTTCCCTTGAGGCATCAGTTACTGGATGCTGCCAGAAGCCATTATATTAGACTGGATGAGACTCCTTGGTGTAATCAACATACCTGCCTTTATGATCTTATGAAAAAAACCAAGGAAAAAAAAACTACCTTTCTGAGTATCCCGGTTCATAGAGTGGGGAGATTGAGAATCAAAGCTTGAAGCAAAGCAGGAACTGCTATATTCTGGTAACTACATATGACACTCATCAAGTCACAAAAATGATTTTATTCCATGTATACAGACCCATTTATACAATTACATTGCATCATGCTTTAGCACAGGATTGTTCACTATCTTTCCATGAAGTTACAAAGGGGCTAAATTGATGTCTGGGGACCTCCAAGACATGGATTTGACCACATTTTTAACTCCACACCTGTCAAACTGTTCCTGCTTTAATTTTTCTGTTGTTATCGCATATTTAAAAATGAAGATGCAAAAGGGATAATTGCAAACTGAGGGCATCTTAATTTTACTACTTAAAACTTAAGGAATCCAATTTTATATAGCTCATACAGACTCTACATGACCCTGGAGTTTAATTATGGCTAAAATATCTCTACCTCAGAACCAAGACAAATGAGTTATTAGTCATATCTATATCATATGCAGACAGTTTTAGAGATCTATTTCTTGAAAGTTTTCTTTTTCAAATACAGAATTTGTAAACTTTACCAGGGAAACCCCACTACATATTTAGTAAAAGGAAAAATGACACATTTTTAGAAAACACAGCAGGAACCGATAAGCATGTTTAGAAAGCAAAGGAATATTGAAAGAGATCTGCTCAATTTTTTTCATCAGGCTCAACTACATTAAAATCATACTGTGACCCTAAGACTATTATTTTGCTCTACTGTTTTTTCCAATTTAATATGAGAGAGAAAATCAGGACATTTCAAGTTAATGAAAAACTTCCCACTTTCACCAGAAAGTGGTGAGTGTTAATCCATGTTTCTTTGGCATAGCACAAAAATCCTCTTTCTGGTACAGGATACTATAGTGATAATTCATAATTATCGCAACCATTAACTTCTCAGCTAAAAGCCAAAAATAACAAAACCTAAGTTTTAATAGAAAATAACATTTAACAAAAATCAGATGTAGGAGAGGAAGTGAGAATCTTTACCTTACAAGCTGTTAGCATGTCAGCTACTGCTTTGCGGCTCAGATTCGCTGTAGCTATCACATCCTCCTGTCTGCATGAGTTCCCAGCTGCAACAGCTTTGGCAGTTGCCATGGTGATTCCTTTCGTCATCCGAATTGATTCTTCAGGTGATGATGTCTTTTCTGGAACCTCCTTTGACTGAAACACCTGGAAGTGAAAGCAGAAGAGAAGAGCTTGATGCCCCTTAAGAGTAAAGCCATGACAACTCAGACTTTGAAACATACACGGCAACTGAAAGCAGCCTTCAAATGGCAGGAAATTACAAATTTAATTGGAGCACTTCAATATCACTCCTGTATGTCAGAAGTATGGCTCTGATAAGCCTTATACCCCTACACGCAGCAGAAATAAACAATAAGCTGTGGGAAATATGCACAAAAGGTAACACATTCATTTTAAATGGATGACACCCAGCATGTCATTTAAGTTACCTAGGTTACAAGACAGACAGAACCCAAATGGTACAGACAGCTGTACAGAAAGCCAATATTCTTTCATATATACTGCTTTTATCCTGACTTCTACAGGATCACACCCAGCATTAAAGGATCCTTTTCCCATTCAGGCTGGGCCCCAATTCTCTCGGCCAGAAGCAGCATAGTAAAGGACTGAACTGGAAACATTAATAACATGCTCAAGGACCTCTTCTTTAAAGATGGAGAAAATGAAGCATAGTTTCTTATGCTATACTTAGTTTCCCTTAGAAGCCTAGCTGTACAATTTTGCAGAACTTGTGTCAAGAGACAGACACTGTGAATTATCTGACAACATACCCATCACCCCTATGACTAGTGGAAGAAATTAACTGTGTTCATATAGGTAGTATAAGTCGATCAGACCTTCTTTTGACTCATACTAGCTGCCTTTTTCTGAGCATTTCTCCCCTCATTAGCTTGCCAATCTCAGACTTTGCAGAACATTCCAGTGTCTGGCAGGAGGATATGTTTCATCACGCACAGCATCAAATCAACTCAGGGTTTTCTAGTGAACCCTAAGTCAGGTATTTAAGTGCTTGAACAATATTCAAATGTACCACTCCCATTTCTCACTGTCTCAAAAGGGGGCAGAGTCTATAAAACAAACTCCTTAGGTCAGGTGTTACAATGACCTCTCTCACTACCCCTTAAATTCAACCTGTACTGAGCCAGCTACAATAGTCCATGTATCTGGGTAACATCCTGGTTCTTACTGACTTTGATGGCATCAGGATTCAATCTCATTTATAACATTCTTCCCCCTATTAACATTGTAACATTCTCCCTCCTCTTAGGATCTGTACAGCAAAAATGACAACAAAGAGTCCTGTCATATAATAATGGAGATGATGAGGAGGGGTATTAAAAAAGAGTGAACCACAAGATTTTTGCTTAGGAGAGCAGCAGAACTGACATGTTATAATGCAATGTCCTGATTAATAAATAACTATTCTGTGAGGATTTCCTTTTTGTGTTCACATAATACAAAAGGGGACAAAACAAAGTGAGCTCTTAAAGGACAGCAGCACCTTATCTTTTCAAACATTCCCAATGTTGCCACAACATAGGTGCATTCAGTTCATAAATATAAGACAGGGTATTTATTCTCTGATACAGTTTCTCTATATACATGTTCTGCTTATCTTATGAAACAACAAACAACATTTTAGCTTTCCCAAGCATACTGTGGTTCTAATTTAGCTCACTGTCCACTATTTAAAAAAATGGAGTACCCAAAAGGAGGCTTTAATACTTACCTGACTGTATCTTGAAGAGATAGAAAAATAACATTTGTGGTCTAAAACCTAATTTTGGGGGTGAATTATGTGCTACAAATAATTCTTTTGCTCAGATAAAATTTAGATATCAGGCTATTGACCTTTATAAAAGAAAAAAATGTAAACGAGATTAAAATCACAGGTGCCAACAATGCTGGCTTTGAAAGGTTTCTTCAGTGCAAAGGCAAGGTTAAAAAAGGTAAAAGGTGCTTGATTCAGAAAATAATATTTGAAGTGGGAGTTTCATGTCTCATGGACATAAAAAAAACAATTGCTCCAAGCATATGATATGACAGTTATCTCACAACTCAAAATACAGCCCCAAAATAGTCACTGGTGACATTGGAAAGCAGGTAGGCTGAAGGAACATGCCAGCTCAGAGTTAATTTAGAGCAGCTGGCAGTGACTAAACTGCATCTAACTCACTACAGGACAGCCACAACATGCCCTGAGCAGCCTCTGGTGCAGCCTAATTTGATTTAAATGTGTTCTTTAGAAGGCTGCCACGTGCAATTACATTCTTTACCGTGAGTTCCTGTTTGATGTACTCGATTGTGGCTTCAAGAGCTCTTGTGCCTCGAGTAGCTTCATCTTCTACTGCTTTAACAGTTTTCAAAAGTGATGTGACATTTGTTACCATCACCTGAAAAGAGAGAAAGAGAGGTGAAAATACGTAATTCCCTCCTACATTTAGGAAACACCATTTTTTCATTTTAGGAATATCACACTATAGAATGATTATTAATTCCAGTATACTTTATAAATAGTACAGGTCATTTGATGCAGCCCTCTGCTTATGAAAGGTCATGTTATACAACTCTGACTTAGTTAGTCTACAAAAGTGCAAATCTACCCTCCTACGGCAACATAGAACACTCCCTCAGTCAGATGCACACAGGAGAATGGGGATGTCCTTAGGTAAGAAAACAGGTTTCACCAAAATCACTGGTGTTGCCGGATGACTTGGAAACTGTTGTTTATTGACACCAAATTGCAGGCAGCCAATTATCCAGGTTTCCAGCTGTCACGAACTGTCCAGTTAAAGATCATCTCAAGTTATTTGAATACAGATGAAACAGCAGGAAAATAAGAGAATTAGGTGACCAAGAATCCACTGCCATCAGCCTTTGGGATTGCAGTAACAAAGCAATATCAGCAATTTCTTTAATAAATGTCAAAAAAGCAAGTTATTACACTACCTACCTTTGCAGCTCCCTTCAGCTGGTACATGGATGGATCATCTGCTGGTTTGCTAGCAGCTCCTTTGGTAGCACCAATGAGGTCAGAAAGGGCCTTAGCAACATCCTTAATAGCATTGATCAATACAACCTACAAGGGTGAGAAAGTTTAGCTTGTGGTTAGTGTAACAAGTTCTCAGGTCAGTCAACAGATGGAGGATTTGGCAAGACTCGGCACTTAAGGGATTTGCTAAGCAGTGGGAGAATACCGTGTTATACCTACAGTCACCAGGACTGACATCAGCAGCCCTTAGCGGCCTGGATGCAGCAAGGTTTTGCTCATATTGAAAAACTAGCCAATTGCCCATCAAGAATGATGTGGGGAGGAGGGTGGTGGGGACCGAGCGCCACCGCCCACTGGCCCATGTTGCTGCCATTCTGCCTCTGATTCTGTGCACCACCCCCATCTGGCTCTGTGCGCCTCCTTCGCCCCTCACTGCTCCACCCCACAGCTTCTCAGGCACAGAGAGGGGAGGAAGCTTGCATGCAGCAGCCACAGCTGCCACCCAGCACCCCAAGCTGCCGCTGCTGTGCATCCGGCCGCGTGCAACCCCCATCTCTCTCCCCGGACTCCCTTCCCTCCTTCCCGGCTGTTCTCAGGGCCTGGCAGTGGCAGGGGGGGGCGGGGGGCATGAGGCCAGTGCTGTGCCGCCAGTACCCTGCGCTGCTGCCTCCCAGAAGTAGGGGGGGAGGAAGCTTGCCCTGCTGTCCCCTCCATCCCCCTTGGCCAGCACCCTGTGCTGCCGCCTCCTCCAGGAAGCAGGGCCGACAGGGGAGGAGGGATGGGAACAGCTGTTGCCAACATCATTGGTTGGTTCAGACAACCAATCAGAGTGTGAATAAAGCGTTACGGATGGACAGACAGACAGACTAAGTCTTTTATAATATTAGAATTACACTTTGGTACCCTGTGCTGAAGCTCTGAAAAATGACTATATTTAAGACATATGCTATACTTAAAACTGTAATCTAACCTCCCCTATAAGGAACAGCTGTTGCCAACATCATTGGTTGGTTCAGACAACCAATCAGAGTGTGAATAAAGCGTTACGGATGGACAGACAGACAGACTAAGTCTTTTATAATATTAGAATTACACTTTGGTACCCTGTGCTGAAGCTCTGAAAAATGACTATATTTAAGACATATGCTATACTTAAAACTGTAATCTAACCTCCCCTATAAGCCAGAGAATCATAGAAAATTAGGGTTGGAAGGGACCTCAGGAGATCATCGAGTCCAACCCCCTGCTCAAAGCAGAACCATCCCCAACTATATCACCCCAGCCAAGACTTTGCCTAGCCAGGTCTTAAAAACCTCAAAGGATAGAAATTCCACAACCTTTCTGGGTAACCTGTTTCAGTGCTACCCTCCTGGTGAGAACGTTTTTCCTAATACCTAACTTAAACTTCCCTTGCTGCAACTTGAGACCATAGTTCCTTGTTTTGTAACCCGCCACCACTGAGAACAGTCTAGCTCCATCCTCTTTGGAACCACCCTCACTTCCCTCGATCTACTGGCAACACTCCTACTAATGCAACCCAGTCTGCCATTAGCCTTTTTCACAATAAAGGCACACTGCTGGCTCATATTTAGCTTATTGTTCACTGTAAGCCCTAGGTCCTTTTCTGCAGAACTGCTGCTTAGCCAATCAGTCCCCAGCCTGTACCAGGCATGGGATTGTTCTGATGTAAGTGCAGGATTTTGCAGGAGTCCTTATTGAACCTAATGAGATTTCTTTTGGTCAAATCCTCCAATTTCTCAAGGTCTCTCTGAATCCTGGCCCTACCCTCCAGCATACCTACTACTCCCCCCCGCATGGTGTCATCTGCAAACCTGGGAAGGGGGCACTCCACACTATCTTCCAGATCACTGATGAAGATATTGAACAAAACCAGGCCCAGGACTGACCCCTGGGGCACTCCACTTGATACCAGCTGCCAACTAGACATCAAGCCATTGATTACTACCCTTTGAGCCCATTGATACAGCCAATTTTCTATCCACCTTACACTCCATTCATTCAACCTGTACTTCCTTAGCTTGCTTGCGAGAATGTTGTGGGAGACCATATCAAAAGCCTTGCTAAAGTCAAGTCCTACCATGGAACATACCATGCCCCCATATACAACTGATATCAATTAATAATTGCTTGCACTACATGATTTTTATTGGCAACCCTGCATTGTCACACTTGAACTTGAGAATAAAGTCTCCAGATACGTTAAGTTGTTTAAAGTAACAAGTATTGCTAGGGTGGAATACACAGTTATCAAAAAATCCTCCAGAAATAAACATTTTCAATTCAATTTCATTTTGCAATATTTTCTCACAGTTGAATTTTCTGTAAGTTGACACTGGAATTGTGTACAGTCAGAGTGAAATACACATGCTTTCCACAGTCTCAAACAAGCAACGGAACTTTTTCAAATGAACTTACTAACTTAAAATGGTAATACATTTACCAACCTCCATTCCAATAGATTCAAATAAGAGATGAAATGTTTCTACTTTGAAAAATGACATTACTGACTGGAGAGTTAAAATAATATAGAAATACCTGTAAAACTTCAGCAAACTATTAGCAACATTAAAACAACATGAAGTGCACTGCTTAATCTTAAATTCACTAAAATTGTTCCTAGCAGTGAAATCATTAAACTATGGAACAGCTTTCCAAAGGATGAGTCAGAAGCCCCATCATGAACCATTTGACGAGGCACTTATACCCTTGCAAAAAACATTATATTGTTGGTGGATAGGGGACAAGCCACAATTCTATACAAGTCTTGTCCATTTCAAGATTAATGACTTAGATATACAAAATTATTTTTCAGAAAGGAGATGCAAAAGTAAACTCAAATTAATCCAAGAGAGACACCTATACTTCATGAGTAAGATTTTTACAGGTACTTCAGTGAAAGTCACTTTAAAGAAAAAAGTTGCCTCGTACCTTGAGATTTTAAAATTATTTCTCTCACAACCTTATATCTTTCAAATGTGACAGATATTGATCCGCTGTTTACCTCCAGGTTTGCTGCCCCTCATACCTGTGTTTCAGGGTCATCTGATCCCAAGCTAGCTGCTCCCAGTTTTACCACCTCTGCTAGCTGGGTAATGGTGTTAGCTGATGACTGAGCTGCTTGGGCCAGTTTGTCTTGACTTGAGGCAGCACCAGATACCAGCAGTTTTGTATCTTCAACCAAAGCTTTTGCGGTTTTCAGTATATTTTCCCTGGGGGAAAAAGGGGACATAGGGGAGTGGGGAGGGGAGAACGAGGGAAGAGGGAGAAGGCCATTCAACATTATTTTAAGAGACAGAGCTATGTAGACAATGAGCTGATATGTAAGTCAGCATACCAGTAACTACTCATGATAATCCTAGCCAACACCACAAGGTTGCAATTTTTAGTTAGAACGGATGTATTAAGTTTCAGGTTGTCAACACACCAGGCACAGGATGCCTCAATGAAATGACTTCCTCCTGAAAGGAAATGAGATATAGCAATAAAGGGAGGAAGCAACAAGTCATAACGTGGAGAGATTAGGCCCAGCTATATTGTGAGGAAACTACCAGTTGTCCAGCCTCCCCCTTAGCCAGCATGTTCTATGGAAAAGAAAATAATTATTTGTAAGGAGGGTAATGGGAAGGAAAGGGAAGGGTAATGCTGCACAAAACATGACTAATTCACACTTTTTTCCACATAGTTTTTGAGGAGAGAAATCTAAAGCTTTTCACCCCTTCCTTCAGGTGAAAGAACAGACCGCCTTTGAACAACTTGCTTCAGAAACAAGGTAAAACCATGAAGATAAAATGATAAAAGAAAACATAAAATTAGTCATTCAAGAAATAACTGGCACCTGCACAAAACCTGATAACTGGACTTTTAAGAATTCCTAGATGTAATGGAGGAAAAACCTCTACCTGCAGTCTTAAGTCAGGTTTTAAAACTCTCATGTTAACTAACAGTAACATTAACATTCTGATCTAGAAAAGCCACTTATCTGGAATTAATGTGATCAGTTGTAAAGTCTGCCTTTACACAGTAACTATTTTAGGCTTAGAACAACTGCACAATTGGGTAAAAGGAAATTAAACCAATCACAATTTTATTGAAAAAGATGAAATGCTTTACTTCTCCATTATTCATATATTGTAATAAGTTAATTTTAGCCCATATATGCAGATATGGACCAATTCGTACTCCTGCTTTACCAGAGTATAAATCAGAGGCGGGCAATTATTTCAGCTGGAAGGCCACTTAATAAGTTTTGGTGAGCTGTCGAGGGCTGCATATAAAGATCTTTCAGAAGATACGATTTTAACAAATTATAAATAAAAAACAAATCATAAGCTAAGAATCAAACATTTACTATAACATCTTTTAATTTTATTAAAAATATTGATTTGTGTATGTTTGAATAGTGTACATAGAGACGATTGCATAATAGCTCCAAATAAAGCCTTACTTGTATATAGTGTCTTAGGATGGTGGGTGTAGTGGGGGTGGAGGGGCTGTGTGTGTGTAGTTGGATGTGGGTATGGTGGAATGTGTTGGGGAGTGTGTGGGTATGGTGGGGCATGGGGTGTGCGGTTGGGGTGTTGGTGTGCAATGTGGGTTGGGTGTGCAGGTGCATTAGGTTACTGGCCTGAGGTGGGTGGGGGCAGGGTGTGATAGGGGGCACATACAGGTGCAGTCCACCCCTGCCTCCCCTCCAGCCTGTGGCTGCTCCCTGGCATTCCACTTGGGGCTGAGCCCCACCGGGGCAGCCTGCCCATGATCATGTCTGCACCCCTGCACCTGCCCTGCACTCCTGTCTGCAACTGCCACACAGCTCTTGTCTGTACCCCTTCACTCGCCCTGCGCTCCTGTCTGCACCCCTGCACCCACCCTGAGCTCCTGTCTACACCTGCCCTGCACCCGCCCTGTGCTCCTGTTTACACCCCTGCACCCACCCTGTGTTACTGCCTACACCTGCTCCAGATCTGGCCAGTGCACACGGCTTCCTGGCAGGGCAGCCCTCAGGTGGCTGCTGATTGCGCTGGGCAGGCAGAGTGGGTGGAAGATGACTAGAAGCTGGAGCTGGAGTCCCATGTATTAGGTCAAGGGCTGCCCTGCTGCAGCTTACCCCCATTCGCTGCCACTTCCCCTCCCTATCTGCTGCCCTAAGTGCTGCAGCAGGGACAGGAGAAGGAGGAGATGCTGGAGGCAGGGGGAGCTGAGCAGTTCCCTGGGCAGCTGCAGCAGTAGCCCTGCCAGGAAGCTGTGCACGCTGGCTGGGGCCGGGGCCATCTGGTGGGTAAGGGCAGGAGTGCAGTGATTGCTGCCCTGGACGGGAGTAGGTGGGAATTGGCCCCATGCTGAGCACAGCAGAAGCACCCGCAGACCAGATACAATTAATTGGTGGGTGCTGGCCACCTGAAGGGCTGGAGCAGGCAGCAGCCAGGCGCTTGAGTACGGCAGCCATTTTGCGACCCAGGATATATACAGGGTGAAGCAGTAGTTTGCTGCTGGCCGCTGCAACAGAAACATCAGCCGGCTCAGGAACAGCTTGGAGGTTTATGGGCTGGGGGTATGGGAATAGAGGAAGCTCCAGGTCCTGAGCTTGACCTAAAAGTGCAGCCTGCCAGGTATGGGTGGCCTGGTGGGGCTGTTTGTAGAGCAACAGTCTCCCAGAAATGCCAGGCCAGTTACCACCCCGGTGAAAGGCAGGTCAGGGGTGCCTAATAACCTCCAGGCCACACAGAGTCCTAGCTGGGGAAAGCCCAGGGCAGTGAGAGGCCTGAGGCTCATGTGATCCAGGCAAGTTGTGAGGGAAAAAGCAGGCAAGCAGCTCAGGTTTGTCCCGAGGGACCCTGACTGGCCCATGCTGGGGCCAGGACCCAGAGATGGGTCAAAGGGCCAGGGGCCCATTGCAAGGGATGCCCAAAGAGCAAAGAGGCTCAGGGTACTGACTGGCCTGAGATGGGGCCAGGGCCTAAGGGGAAGCTGAAGGTCCCAGGGAGGGGACCATAGCTAATGGGGTGAAGGGTACAGCGGAGTTTAGCATCTGCGAGGCTTGGGCTGCAGTGTAGGGGTAGAACGGAGCTCCAGAGATCCCCCTAAACATCGGGGTGCAAAAACGGGCAGCCTCCTGCCTAATTAACACCATAATTATGTATCATCAAGGCATAGCAGGAAAGAGAGGCGGGCGGACAGTTAGTCCAGAGACAGGTGGGTGGGCCAACATCAAGCTGGCCACACTGCCCATGGGCCAGATCCAATCAGCTGGTGAGCCAGATCCAGCCCATGGGCTGTATTTTGCCCGCCCTTGTTATAAGTATTGCTCTTTGTCACAAGTCATAGTATTTGTTATTTTCTATAGCATTACATTGCTTAGACTGGACACAGTCTTGCCTCTCTCCAAATTCAGATACGTGACACCAAACAGAGCTGCAAAGCATAAAGCTGGTAACCAAAGTAGCATATGAACCTGTGCAGGAAAGAGACTTTACATTAACATACCACTCTGTTACTTTCCTCCATCCAAACCCAGGTGTATACACATAAGACACTACATTTCCATTTGACCCACTGTATAATGATTTTTCCTTCGCTGCAAAAATGGTCTGGTCCTCCCTTTACAGAGGTGATAAAGTTGGGTAATAAAAGTAGTCACAAGCTGGTGTTAGTTATCCCCACTAAGCCTTTTCTTGTATTCCATTTGCCATCTTTCAATTGTAAATAGTTTATTTCATTGTTAAACTGTAGGAGGCAGGGTCTTGTCTGCAAAGTATGCAACAAACTTCATCTGATGATGAAAATACCTCTTCTAATTCTGGACTCCAGGGCACTTATAGTTCCTACAGAATTGGCAGAGCCAGGATCTAAGTAATGGCACAGCAGTGATGGCATAGGTCAAATGTGCCACTGAGCCACAGCTGTGTCTTGGCCATTAGAACCTCAGGTTTTCATTATGAGGGAAATAATGGCTGGGATAATGCAAATGTTCATTGTTCTGAAAAATGCCCCAAATCATTATATTCCATATGATGTTAGATGGAAATGTAGGCCATCAACTGATCCAAAAGACAGAATAACTGACACTAACTGACACTATCAAACAGCCCCACCAAATAGGTCCAGTCTCAGCACTGGCTACACACACTGGAAGAGCCAGCAGGTCAAAAATAGGCTTTGAAAAAAAGAAACAAAGTTACCCAAGCTATCCTCTCCAACTTCATGGGCACTTTTTCCTACTAGGAACAAAGGGAAATGCAATCAATAAAAATGCAATACAGGAATGGCTATGTTAAAATAAAGCCTTGTGTCAAACTTGTCACATCTGTGGTTTTTGTTTGAAATACTGCTGGGAAATCAGCCAGCTGTTATTCCCTTCACACATACATGAGCAAACCAAAACTTGTTTTTCTTTACTTATCTAGCTTTTGAAATAATGACCCCAAATCATTCCTATTTCTCTCTCACTTAATTAGCCCATCTGGGTTTATTCTTGGAGATTTATAAGGCAGGCAAAGCTCCATCTGTACTCCTTTTCCTTTGCCACTAGTAGGCCATTTATCCATTGCTTCCTTCCATATAGCTCCTCTATCCCATGTTTTGGAAACACTGACCTGTGGTCTGCAAATGATTCATTGTTCTCAGCATTAAGGGTTCCAGCTGTGGCAAACATGATAGTTGTGTCCAGATCTGCAATTATCCCAGAAACAGCGCTAGCTGCAGTAATACAAGCCTGAGTGCCCTTGTTTCCTGCTTGCAGGGCAGACAAAACCAAAGAAACCTGGAAACAAAAAATTATAGTGAGGGGCATATTAAAATAAAGCAATGTTAATTGATTTATTGGTTAAACAAGGTTAGGTTTGAATCAAAGGCACAATTCATTTTGTGAT